AATACGCTGCGTACTTTTCGCTGGCGCCATCTCTTAGTTAAACCGGAAAAAACTTATGCATACACCTGGTATTCCCCCCGGCAAACATCGCGGCCGACCGACCATCCGTCGGCCGCAGAACGGCGCTTCGCGCCAATAAACAACTCCACGCGCACGTGTCGGAAAAACGTCTCGGGAGCGGTATAAAAGACCGCTTTGCCGCAATATCGGAACCTGATTCCGCCGGAGTCAGCCGGATCGTAAGATCGTAGCTGCTCCGGATCCCGATCCCCAGATCGAGAGACAGCGACAGTGCGTATGCCGTCACTGCTGTGAGTTCGCAGCCGACTCGACATCCTTCCATCCGGAAAGTCTGAGGTAGCGCGTACGCTGTCTCTCCTGTGGAAGTCGCGGGCACCGGACTCTTCAACCTCCATCTCGGGACGGTGTGTTCGCCGCCTCTGTCGAGTGTTCTCGACCTCGGCCACTCCACTCTGGTCACCGGGTCTTGCGCCTCCGGGGCATACGAACGCCCCGGAATACCGTTCTGCGTACCGCGCCGCGAATATAGAGACGACGCGTGTTTCTCCGCCGCCCCTCACTGGAAATACCATCGTATCCGCCGCGAAACCGAGAAACTACCGCCGCCGGCTGCACGTTGGCCAGGCTCGCCCGGCCGATTCCGCCGCTCCTGTAAGGAGGCGCGATACCTCGTGCCCTCCGCTCCGGGAGTCGACCGACGCGAGCACTCCGCGTGCGGTAACCACCGCGACCCGCGTACCGCGACCCGCGACGCCGAGTCTAGCAGGTGCATTCCACCGTTGCACTCCGATGCGAAACCGTCGAGTTTAAACACCGCGAAACATCAAACTACCGCGCCGAACGTCAACACCGCGCCCGCTCACCGCTAACACCGCGAGCTCCACGAGCCGAGCGTTACGTCTGCTCCCAGTAGATTCCGAGAAGGTAACACCGACTAAGCCGACGTCATAAGGTAAACACGGGATTCCGTCGCCAGTATTGTCACCGGAATATTAGCTGGTTTGAAACGACGAGATTAAAGCCCGACCCGTTGATAAGATCTTGTACAAAATAACGTGGGATAATAAACGAATCTTTTCTTGGACAATTACTCGCTCATTCGCTTTCTCACTCGCGCTCTCACTCACATACCTACATACTCATGCCTACACCAAGAATGCCTGCTGGGCATCCGGCGAGCTACACTAGGGCCACCGCTACCGAACACGGTCGACCAGACACCGCACGACCACCCCACCGGCCGGGGTAGGGGCGAACGTCCACCGACCGGCGGGGTAGGGGCGAACGTCCACTGACCGGCGGGGTCCGTGTCACAGCGTTAGTAATTAACGTTCAATCGCGATCTGTTGTTTTTTTAAACAAACGTTCGTTCTTGCGGACTATTTAGCGCGATCGTGCTCGCACAAAGGCGAACGATTCGTGAGAACGCCGTTCGAACGCGATGAAATTATTTTTCTCAAGCACAGGGTGGTTTGAATGAACACACGCCGCAACGTCGTAGTTTCGAAATATGCAAGTATTCGTATTATTCATCCTACGCCCGACGTTTCGCGTCGTTCGAACGATGGCCAAAAAACTCGATATAGTTGTCGTCGAACGACGATGGCGGCGGTAGGTGTAACAATTACAGCGGCCTCGTTGTCACGAGCGAGGGTGGCACCGTTATCGTGCGACAGAATCATTACATGGCCGCCGCTGGTTTTTTCTTTATCAGTTATTCCGACATCGTAGTGTGTCATGAGGACGGACTTGCGTTGGGTCGCTGGCGGAAACGTCGCGACGACGACAATAAACGATCCGAGCAATCGCCGCCGTCGCCAGAAACGGCTGCTTCCCTCGAGAGAACCATCGCGGCGGTGACACTGCGCAAAAAGCTTGCTTCTGGCGCATGGATTATCCGAATCTCTTTTACTATGAGTACAGCTGCGCGAACCTCCTCAATTCATCCTCGTTCGCGTCTTACGAGCCCATCGCGCGAATGATCGAACCGTGTCGAGAGAGACTTCGAGTTTCTCGCGCTTTTCTCGACGATTGTACGGCGCGCGCGAAACGCGACGCTGATACTTTGAAGGCTTTCGCCAAGTCCTGTAGCGATGTGATCAAATGCATCAAGAAGTCGTTGCGGACGAGTAAAAGATTATTGGATCGAATCAAAGCGGACATCGAGACGGCGAGATTCGTCAATTCGGATTTGGAGTACGCTCGCGTTAGAGAACGAGTTCGAGAATGCGTCAGCGAATTGCAGCGCGCTGGCGATAATTCGACGGTGTCGAGATTCTACGACGACGACGGCAGCAGCGAAAGCAGCGACGATGACGGAGAAGAGATCGCCACCATTGACAATAGCGGCGACGCGGACACCACCGCGGATCGCGAACGTTGCGTAGTTTGTTTAACGCGAGCTTTCAACGTTCTTCATCTGCCGTGTCGTCATTTGAATTCCTGCGTGCCTTGCTCCAAAAAACTGTCCATTTGTCCGAGCTCCTCTTTGGATGTGCGTAAAAATTCATCGTTGAACGCACGCGAGCGAGGAAAGAGGCGCGGCAGCCAGCCAGCAACTGTCGTTCTCTCACGGTGGTTCGCGATGATAATTGCTCGATTACTCATTCATTCGAAACATCCGACAATGCGGCACCGTCTGTCTGTTTCTTTTCTATCGCGACGACGACAACCGAATGTGGCGAACGAACGGTGGAGAGAAAAAATAAGAGGAGGAAAAGAGAACGAACGTATCGTCGGAAAAAATTATAGTTTTTTTCACAACGAGAAAAGGCGTCGTATGTACATAAATTTGTATCCGCAAATGTTCGTCGCGCGCGCCATCGCATCGCGAACGTGCCCGCATTCATTCATCATTGCTTTGATATCAGAAGCGACAGCACGTGATCGCAATATAAACTCCGGAACGAGCGAAGAATACTAAGGGCCGTGCGTCGCGGCAACTCGACGGCATCCAGGCCTCGATCGTGAAACGCCGCCGCTTGAGTCATGCACGGCTGAGCAGATGCATCGATATTTTTCGAATGTCTATCGGTTGTCGAGTCAGCGATGTTATTGTCGTCGTCGAGTTGATCTTCATTTTCATTCTGTGGTCGCGGTTGTTCGTCATTGTCTTCTATGTAGTAAAAATCTGGTAGATTGACATTTTCATTTCTATGAAAGAAAGGTGATCGCTGGTCCACAAAATTACGAAAGGCTAAGTACGAAACATATTCGGTAGGTAGATTGTAATCGATTTCATTTTTATTAATATCTTCATATAGTAAATCGGCGATGTAGCAAATTTTTTCTATAGATTCATCTCGATTTGTGTATTGATAAAGACCTCTAATTTTTCCTAATGCGTATAACGAAATTTTAACTACGTGCATTAATGTGTTATATATAGATATTTCGCTGTTATTTTGCAATTGATGTTCATTAAGAAATAATTCCACAGTTCTACTAAATGTGAACAAACCAAAAGGTTAACAATACAAGCCCCTCGTGCATGTATCTGCTGAAAACACGTATACAATTGCGAACAAAGTACTCTCTGTCTTCTGAATTTAATTGATTATGGGCGGAAAAACATTTTTCATGACACCAATCAAAGATAATTTCGGTCGATTTGCGCACATTGATAAACATCAATTTTGACAAAGGTTCAAACCAGGCTTTTCTTATTTCCGGATATGACTACATCGATAATTGTGGATAGTACACGACTATTCTATCTTTAGACGATATGCGCGGTTGTATCAACGTATGAAAAACGATTAACTATAGGAAAAAAATCTATTAAAAGTGAAGAAATATCGCTTGATTGCCATGATGACCATATGTTTGTTTTTTCTATTTCGTCGTTAGTTTGAATTGTCACGTATTCGACTAATTGTATCAAATACGACTCACGAACTGTATCTCGCAATAATTCTTTCGATAAATCCGAATAAATCTGTAATTTTTGTAATAAAGTGACATTTTCTCTAACGTATGTTTCTGAAATTTCCGCCCATATTTGTTCAAATAAACGAACATAATCGAAAGAGAGTTTGCACAAATCTGTTACAGCACTGTAACACTTAAACGCGGTAATGCTTGGATCTCGCACTATTTATCTAAATTGCGGAATTGATATGCGTTTTTTAATTACATTACCATTTTTTCGACGCACCGTTGTAATTTTACGTGGCTAGAACACAAACTCAATACGAATAAACACTTAAAAACCGAATATACGCAAGTCATCGAGAAATATCTTAGATTAGGTCATATGTCTGTGATAGACAATCCCGGCGATGGTTATTATATGCCGCACCATACGGTCATTAAAGAACCAAGCAATACCACTAAGGTTCGAATAGTATTTGACGCGTCCGCAAAAATAAGTAATAGCATTTCATTAATCGATATGTTAATGGTAGGACCCACAATTCAAGATAAATTATTTTCGCATTTGGTTCGGTTCCGTATATACAAAATTGTCATGACCACACATAAGGAGAAAATGTGTCGTCAAGTGGTGTTACATCCAGACGATCGAAAATATCAACAAATCCTATGGCGCCGACATGACAAGATAGAGACATTTCAACTAAATACGCTCACTTTCGGCGTTTCCTCTTCACCGTTTCTCGCTATCCGCATTATAAGACAATTAGCAGACGACGAAAGCCAAACGCATCCTAAAACGGCTGAGATTCTTAAAACGCATCTTTACGTGGACGACTTATTAACCGGCGCCGAGAATATTGAACAGACACGCGCAATCAGAGACGAAATAATCGATTTACTAGCTCGTGGTGGGTTCGCTATCAGACGATGGGCGTCTAACGATAAAAATGTTATTAAAGATCCAGCGGATCACAATATACACGAAATTCGCAATAGACCGTTCGCTAAAGATATTAGATATTACGTGGGATCCATATAACAATAAAATTTGTTACTCGACGCGCCCGACCAAACCCACGGGGAGGTTAACGAAACGAACTATATTATCCGAAATCGCGAAGATTTTCGATCTATTGGTTTTGATGAGCCCTGTCATTCAGTACGCGAAGAAATTAATGCAAGACATATGGCGAAGCGGAATACATTAGGACAAGTCCGTTCTGTAGAGCATACATACCAGTTGGTCCGAATTCTCGCGACAATTCGAGTCGATGGATCAGATTTCATTCGATCGAAGATTATTAACAGACGATTATCAAAATATTCAACTTCACGGTTTCTGCGATGCTAGCAATGTTGGCTACGGGGCATGCTTATAGGTACGCTCGATCGGGGAGCGCGGGAATGTCGTTAACAATCTAGTATGCGCTAAATTACGAGTCGCTCCGCTAAAACCTATCACCATACCGCGACTTGAACTCTGCGGTGTATTATTATTGACGCGACTGTATCGTGAGACGTGCGACGCGTTAAATATTACATTTAATAAGATAAAATTTTGGTGCGATTCGTCTATAGTATTACACTGGCTAAAAACGTCACCTCATCTACTCAAAACATTCGAATTCACGCGAGTCGCGGAGGTTCAAGAACTCACCGGTATCATTAAATGGCGGCACATTAAATCGGGTGATAATCCAACCCAACCTGATGCGATTTCAAGAAGTCAATTACCTCCTAAGTTCTCGCGAAATCAGATATGACTCACGGAACCGTCATGGTTGATTGAGGATAAAGACCAATAGCCTAACGAAGACATACAGATAAGCGAGATCCCAGAAATAAAGGCAAACATGTGTCTGTCGACGTTGAATGTCGATAATTTTGAAATACTTGAAAAATACTCGTCTTATTCTAAATTATGTAGATTCGTAGCATATTGTTTTCGATTTCGTCGGATTAACAAACACACCGGTTCGTTGCACGCGGAAGAAATTATTGAAGCAGAGATACGAATATTAATAATTTTACAAGCAGTGCAGTTTTCTGACGAAATTAGAAAACTTAAGGTCAAGCGCACATTGAATAAAGGTAGATTAATTGGGCTAAACCCATTCTTAGACGAAAACGGTATAATTCGAATAGGCGGTCGTCTGGAGAGGTCAAATTTAACGTTTTCACCAAAACAATCTTACTTTGCAATCGACACTATTTAACTGACCAGATTATACGCGAGTGCCACGAATCACGGTATCATACGGGGATTCAAACTACATTATGCATTATCTGACAAAAATTTTGATTGCTTGACGGTCGAAATCAGGTACGGAGAATAATACGTAAGTGTACGCGTTGTTTTCGTTTCGATGCCAATGTAATTGAATATAAAATGGGCAATCTCCCGGCAGTTCGGGTTTGCGAAGCAACACCATTCGCTAATACTGGTATTGACTTTTGCGGCCCGTTCCATATCAAAGAGAAAAAACATCGCATTCGTGGTCGAATCAAAGTTTATTGCGTATTCGTGTGTATGTTGATAAAGGCCATCCATTTTGAGGTTGTGAGCGACCTATCGTCCGATGATTTCTTCGCAGCATTACGACGATTCGTAGGTAGACGAGCATTACCGACTAATATCTATTCCGGCAACGATACAAACTTTGTAGAAATAAACAATCAACTAAAGGAATTATACGTTTTATTAAATTCAGACAAACATCATGTTCTCATAAGGAGATTCGCAAGCGAACGCCGCATCAACTGGCATTTTATATCACCAGCCGCACCGCATTTTGGTGGTCTGTGGGAATTCACGGTTAAATTGTTTAAACACAATTTTAAGGTTAAGACAATCGTACTTATAAAGGACAAAAACCAGTCATGTTCTCAGTGGGCGCTAAGCAAGATTACCGAACTGTACTTAGGCGAAGACAAAATAGGTAGAATAGCCACGGGCAAGACGGCGGTTGGAGAGCTGAGACGAGCCAGGAGGCTACTATATCCATTGCCAATCGATTAACGATCATACGAATGTAAATGCGATAAAAAATGCATTTTTAAACGTTGCATTCAAATGGGCGACGTTGCTGTAAATTAAGCGAGTCTTTCTGTTGCGATTTCGTCGCGAACGCTATATGTATATGAAAAATCGAATAGTTGATCGGTTTCCTCTCAACGGGAGGGGGGGGGGAGGATGTTACGTAGCATAAGCGAAGTCGTACACGACCTTAAAGGAGAGGATTAAGTAGACAGATAATCAAAGACGGGCGATATGCACACATATATGAACACATATTTGTACACATATATGCAAACATACACACATATATACACACATGTACGCAAGGCAGTCATATTTCTACGCATATGTAAATATAACAGTCGAACGTCGCGCTTATACTTAAAAACATACGATATGCGTGAAGGAACTCGAACGAGCCGGTTTTTGTGATCTCTGGCCGAGATCGACGCCGCGGCTAGAGCGCCGAAAGCTCAAAGGCGCGTTATCGCATAGGGACGAAACAATAGCCCGCTAATAAGCATTCTTCTCCCAGCTTTACTCACTACGAACGCGGTGACGATGTCAGTTCGAGTCCGTTCGCCTCAGCGAACATACGATATATTAAGGAACTTGTGCAAATGTGCGTATAACATTATCGAGTCGTGATCCAAGAATTCTTAGGCGCCATCGTGACCCGAGTAGAAATCTTGAGACATAGTCGCGATTAAGGATCTCTCTAGGCGTTATCACGACGAACACATATAATATAATATAAGTGTATTTCGCAATATCGAGATGAGATCCGGGGATTCCTAGACGTTATCGCGACCCGGAGACATTGGTCCCGAAACACGGTCGCGGTCCAGGATCTCTCGAGGCGTTATCACAACATATGCGTTAAATAAATATCATACGCCATTCGGAAATTACAGCTACCTATCAGACGACAAAGATTCATACAAACAATAAATAAACGAAACCGGAGAGTGAATTGTAAGAAGTTCATTCTGATCCATAAAACAATGTTTACTTGACAAAAAAGTTAAATAACTCAACATTAAAGTAAATATCAATATTTTATTAACGACATTTATTAGCTTAAAAGTTTTAGTACAGGTTTTTTCAAGAAGTTGTTTCTACTCCTAAAACCGATTTCGGGCTACCACGAAAAATTGTTCAGTTATTAGGTTAGGTTGCCGAGTGTCTTTTGTGAGTGATGGATTGTCTAACCTCTCAAAATTGAAATACTATTATATTTCGATGGGAATATTTAAATTTTTCATAATAACACTAACAAATCCTTCACAAACTGCATCAACTCCCTCGAATTTTTTCCGCGCTCCTTCTATTATATTTCATCCGAAGATGACTCTCGCATGTTGCTAGTTATTAATGAAATAAGGTATTCTACACTGTCCTTCCCAAAAGTTTTCGAACGTGCTTCGTACTAGTAGCGCCATTTATATGAATAAAGTTGCACCACCTTTGCTGAAGTTTCGTTCACAAAGTGTGTTAGTTGAATTGAGGTCCCTCTAACGGTTATTTTACCACAAGTATAAAATCAATATAATCTTTGTTACACTCGTCGAGAAATCAAGATGGAGGAATGAGCAAATACCGAATTTTAAGTGAAATTGGTAAAACGTTCACAGAAACATTAGCAATGTCAAGGAAGGCTTATGGGTACAAAGTATTATCCCGTACATACGAGGTCTGTTCAAAAAGTATCGCGAATTTTGAATTTCCGCGGGTTACATATATTCAATTTTCGATTTTTTTGTGGCGTTATGTTGGTACTCATGTCCCTCACTTATGCCGACAAGTTCGGCCATTTTGAATATTCAGTTTATCTTTGACAGCTGTTTTGCTTGGACGTGTTTTGGCTCGTCTTCGATTTTTGCCTATTCCAAAAAATGGATCAAAGAATCT